AACCGGAGCCTAGCATCCGAGTATGCTGGGCGTACGATGGTACGCTAGGCGTACGAGGGATCGGACCGGTGACTACTTCGGATAATACCGAGCTTTAATTTAATTTATATTTAAATTAATTAACAAACTTCAAAAATTCATATCTTTCTCATACGAACTCCGTTTTCGACGTTCTTTATATCCACGCGAAGGTGAGACTACGATCTACAACTTTTGTTTAGACTCCGTCGGCTAGTTTTGATTTATTTTTAATATTATATTTTTAATAGGTCGGGACAGGAAAAGTCCGTTAAAGTTCCATAACTTCTTCATCCGACGTCCGTTTTCGTCAGACTTTTTAATTTTGCACTAGTATTGTTGAGCCCTTCGATTCTCATTTAGATTGTGTCGGCCAAAAGTCTCTCGATCTCTATTTCGAGTTTTTAGCTGTCTACTACTATATCTGTAACTTAGAAAAATCACAACTTCCTCATACGAAGTCAGATTTGGACGTTCTTTTTATGTACGTTTACGGTTTGATGATATCTAAAACTTTCATTTAGATACTTAAGGCCAAAAACTATTGTATTGAAACTTCGCGTTTTACGTTTATCAGTATTGCCGGTTTTGCCGAGAATCTTCGATTGGTCATAACTTCTTCGTTATAACTCGGATTTTAGGGTTCTTTATATGTATGAAAACCTTGACACGATTCCTACTACTTTATTTAACCCAAATAAGATTTTTGGAAAGTTAAATTTTGACCTAAATTTGACTTGCGTTCCATCATATTGCCTCGAAATATCGGGTTGTCACAGGGCGTTATTGAGAGATATGCATGTTAATTACACATACGAGCACCATGTATGGATAGTGATAGTGTCAATGGCGGTCCATAACTATATAAAAAAAGGCCGGTAGATTTGATGAAGCATTAAACAGGGCACAACAAGAATCTTATACTCCAAATGAAGCTGGTAATAGTAATGAAGCGCATGAAGAAGGTACAAGTACACGTCGTACAAATGATAATGATATGTATATGGCAGCAGTACGAGATATGATTGCCTGAGAGATAACGAGATCGTGAAGATGAATGTAATATGAAATTACATATGATTTTTTAAGATTTTTTTACAATATGCTTTATGATTTTTTTAGGAATTTTTTTTACTATATGCTTTATAATTTTGTATGAACATTATTTTTGAATGTTATCAAAATTTTCTAAATTGTGTAAAAAGTAATTATATTACAAATTTCATCAAAAAAGAGTAAAAAATATATATACTTTATCCAAAAAAAGGTTCGTATAAATATTATATGTAAATAATCAAACATGTCTCTTTTGGTCATTTTACATGTATAAGTTAACCCAAACATTTTTTATAAAATAAGTTATTGACTTATTGACTTTTGTCATTATAAAAGCTAACCCAAACACTTTTTTAAAAACTTCTTTTTCTATCTTGATAAGTCAATAAGGTCTTTTAGATAAAAGGACTTTTTAACTTGAAAATGAACATCCAAACACACTCTTAGATGAAATCCCAAACAATATCTACTTTCTTGAAGTGTTTATATTCTCATATGCATGTTTACATGACTGTTTAACTATTCATTACATATGTGAACATGTTATATGTATAATGTATGTATATAGATGACTAAAAATGTTTTTTTTTTTTTTTTTTTTTTTTTTTTTTTTTTTGTAGATATGGTATCATAATGTTCCTCGCACAAAGCTAGCTGAACTTAAAGGACACCAAAACTAGGTGAAAGTAACTGGTGAATTCCTTACATTCCCTGGTGGTGGGACCCAGTTTAAGCATGGAGCTCTCCATTACATTGATTTCATAAAAGAAATAATTCTTCTAAGTTCTACCATAACATTATAAGTAATTTGTAAAATTCGAGAAAAGATTTATGAATAATTTACTACGACAGATTGTGCCATATATTGCATGGGAAAAGAGGTCACGTGTGATATTAGACGTTGGATGTGGGGTTGCAAGCTATGGAGGATTTTTGTTTGATAGAGATGTTTTGACAATGTCTTTTGCTCCAAAAGATGAACATGAAGCTTAGGTTCAATTTGCACTTGAAAGGGGAATTCCTGCACTTTCAGTTGTTATTGGGACTTAAAGACATCCTTTTCCTGCTAGGGTTTTTTATATTGTCGATTGTGCACGTTGCATAGTTCCTTGGCATATTGAAGGTATTTTCTTCTTCATTTCTTCCTTTCTTGGATTCAGGGGAAGGAATGGAATGGTTGATTCCATTGGAATGAAAAGAAAAAGATGTTTGTTTCGTGTGGTTGAATAGAATGGACCATTCCTGAAGGAACACGATCCCTTCCATTTCATTAATTTTCATTTCATTATTCATGTAACGAAAGAAAAAGTGCAATAATTTATGTTACTGTAGTTTACAATGACAAATCTTTTTCTCAAACTTACGCAATTTTAGTTTAAGTAATTAATTAATTATTTATTATTATCTCCAGGAGGTAAACTTCTTTTAGAGCTGAATCATCTACTACGACCAGGTGGCGACTTTGTTTGGTCTGTTACTCCAATCTATCAGAAACTTCCAGAATATGTTGGGATTTGGGAAGGTATTTTCCCTTACCTTTTTATCTCTTTGAAAGACCCCAACTTTCGTATTTTTGAAAGACCCAAACTTTCATACTTCACAATATCATTACTCCAAAACATGCTATTTGCATATTCATAAAAGGAATATTTTACATTGATAAAGGGAATTACAAACTATTAGATACAAACCTTCTATTACAATGTGTTATATATATTACATAACTACCAAGAATATTGTAATTTATACAAACATAAACTATAGTACAGAATTACTATTACAAACTATTCTACATCTTTCAATAGTATGTAAACATAGGAGTTACTTATCACCTTCAATTGTTAAACATTGATAGGGTAAGCGGTGATGCTTAGTGAGTTCAAAAATACATACAATATAATGTTATGCCATATATATATATATATATATATATATATATATATATATATATATATATATATATATATATATATATAAAATTCAATGTGGCAAAAGCAAAGAAGAACAACAAGATGTATGTGAGATCATGTGCCAAGCGTTCATATCAATCAAAGACTTTATTCAAAGATATACTTTTCAATTCTTGATATACATCAATAAAGCTTTGGCCCAAATGGCATAGAAGACATGCAATTTCTGATTAACATCTTGTTAGATTTCAGGCTTATAGTCCTATCTAACCATTTGCCAATGCCATAAAATAGAAGTCATTCTCTTACGAAGACATGCTGTACATGGCCAGAGGCTACGTACTAGTACCAATGTGAATCTAAGTCCTTTCACTGATCACATGGTCAAAGGTATTACAATTGCTATAAACATAGCGAATAACACGAGAAAATAACTCAGAATAATAACACTGAAAAGCACATAGCACATATAACACATAACATACAATTGTTCCTATATATTGAACCCACCTTAAGTTAACCGGGGGTTAAAATAGTAATTTCGACAACACTTTGGCTTTAAATATGACTTTCTATGTTGAAAACCGGGAGCTTAATTGAAAACCGGGCTCTCCGAAGGTAGGGCATCAAAACCGAAAAGATAAAATTTCTGGGCTTCTCGGGGGTCTCGGGACGTGTTTCGGTTGCTAAAATTGATACCGAGGCTTCGGGGAAAGTCAAAATGAAGAAAATATGGAAAGAGGGGCTAAAAGTGGCAATTTTCAAATTCTAGCCGGGAGGGTTCACACCCTCCTATTTATAGGCCGAGGTTCAGAGTCGGCTGGGAAGGAAGCAAGCAACAAAGCAGCTTGGTGGCGTCAGCAGCGAGGGGCAGGTGGCGCAAAGGCGAGGCTCGGATGCGAGGGTCGGAACAGCTGGCGCGCATGCGAGGCTTAGTCATTGTGGTTCGGATGCGAGGCTGGTAGGTGAGATGTGTCTCGCGTCGTACTGGCCACGATGCGAGACGTGTCTCATTCCTGCTGGACCTCGGCGTTGGCGAATTAACTTGCGACACACGCCTGCTTCAGATTTGGCCACGTCTCCGGTGACGCACCTGCTTCGTGCGAGGTGACGTGGCCGGTACTATTCATGCGAGATTTCTCGGTTTTCGGTCCCCGAACTTCTAAAATCCATAACTTTAGCATACGAGCTCCGGTTTTGATGTTATTTATATGCACGCGTAGCTAAAATTACGCTCTACAACTTTCGTTTAGACTTCGTCAACTAATTTTGACTTTATTTTTAATATTATTATTTTTAACAGACAGGGACAGGAAAATTCATTAAAAATTCATAACTTCTTCATCCGACATCCATTTTCGTCAGACTTTTTACCATTGTACTACATATGACGAGACCTTCAATTCTCGTTTAGCATGTATCTGTCTAATATAGCTCGATCTAAAATTCAAGTTTTTAGCTGTCTACTGCTAAATTGAAACTTCGAAAAATCATAACCTCCTCATACGAAGTCAAATTTTGACATTCTTTTTTTCGAGTTTCTCGGTTTAACGAATATTACGACTTTCATTTAGATTACTAAGGCTAAAGAGTAGTTTATCAAATACTCACTTTTTACGTCATTCGGGGCCGTGCCGGTTTTCTCGCGGATCTTCGGTTGGTCATAACTTCTTCGTTATAACTCGGATTTTGACGAGGTTTTCGCCTACAAGTTTCTAACGAGATTCTCTACAACATCAAACAATAAAATTTTACTTATTTAAAATTTTATATTTTCGCTAAATTTCACTATTTCACTTTTAATTGGAATCTCATAAGACTTCCAATATTTTCTGAGTGATTCTGAACATAGTTTTACTTCGTTTCTAGTAAAAACCATCTGTTAGAACTCAACACTCAATTTTACTTAGTTTTTCAAAATTTAATTCTTTACAAAACAGGATTTCAAAACGTGTATGTTACACTCTTACTTTTCCTTATGAAAATATCCACTTTTAACTTTTTTTTTTTCCTGCCATGACAAAATTAACAAAGGCAATGTGTTGGGAACTGATAGCTGTTAACAAAGATAAAGTAAATAAAGTGGGAGTTGCTGTTTATCAAAAGCCCATCTCCAGTGAATGCTATGAAGGAAGACCACAAAACGACCCTCCACTCTGCATTGAATCCAATGATCCAAATGTTGCATGGTATTATACTATCATTTCTTTATTCCTTAATTACTTTTCAAATATATATTAATGAGTAAGAAACAAGAAACATAACAAATAAAAATGTTTAGGAAAGTACCTCTACAAACATGCATGCACAAGGTACCAATAGCTGCAGAAGTGCGTAGGTCCAAGTGGCCAGAAGAATGGTCATCAAGAGTGGAAAAAGCACCTTACTGGTTGCTGACATCACATATCGGGGTTTACGGGAAGCTTGCACTCGAAGATTTCACTGCAGACTTTGAACACTGGAAACGTGTTGTTAACAAATCGTATATGAATGGATTATGGATAAATTGGTCAAATGTCAGAAATGTCATGGATATGAGAGCTATATACGGAGGGTAGGTAACTAATCTAATAAAACCAACAAATACCACCATATACTTCATTTCTTATATTATATGTTTCTAATTCTTCCTATTGCAACATTATAATTTGATATTCCAGATTTGCAGCTGCTTTAAGAGAAATGAAGACTTGGGTGATGAATGTGGTATCGGTTGATTCTCCAGACACGCTTCCAATAATTTATGAACGCAAATTATTTGGAATATATCATGATTGGTGTGAATCATTTAGCACTTACCCAAGATCTTATGATCTTCTCCATGCGGATCATCTTTTCTCCAAAATAAAAAAGAAGTAACCAACTAATGATCCTTTTAGTTTACGAAAAGACGTAAATGCCCTTGTTGTACTGATATTTTGGTTTTGAATTGGTGTTTGTAGATGGAACATGATGGATTTGATTGCGGAGGTGGATAGAATATTGAGACCCGAAGGAAAACTTATAGTTCGTGACACTGTAGAAATCATTGATGAAGTAGAGAATATTCTTCGGTCGATTTATTGGGAAGTGAGGTTAACTTACTCCAAAGACAAAGACGGATTACTATGTGTGCAAAAGAGTATGTGGATGCCTGTTGAGGTAGAAATAATTACATATGCCATTGCTTGATTATTTGTAGTTCATTGCTATGTTGGTTTCCCTTGCTTTTTGTACCATAGTGTTTTAGTTGGTTAGTTTGTTGTTCTGGTCTGTTATGTCATGTCTTGTTATTGGGTATGGGGTTGAGTTGTTTAACTTGTAGGTAGGACATGATGCGCGACATTTATTGTTTATTTTGAGAATCGAATGTGTTCATGATAGTGAAAGAGGGCTTCATATCAAAAATAAACATGGAATTTTTGAGTGTATTTTGTTGGAATTTTGGTTTGTAATTTCCAAATATTTTGCTTTTAATCATAGTTGATATATCTATATATATATATATATATATATATATATATATATATATATATAATATTATTTGGTTGTTATGTGGTTGTATGTTTTGGCTGGCTGTATATGCGGAGTAAGCACGTTTAACATTCTTGATGAACAAAAGAAAATGATGCTTGAAAAATGGACTAAAAATTTCTCAACAATCCATTTAGTAAAAAAAATAACAGTTGGAAAATAGGAGCCTACGAATATATCAACCTAGCAAGTCATCAAAGATGTTAGTCTTCATTTGTATTTAGTGCTTCTTAATACTTTAAGCCACCGAAGATGCTAGTCTTTATTTGTATTTAGTGCTTTTTATTACTTTAAGGACTAATACAAAATTAGTCTCAAAAGGAGAAACATTATGCATACAATATCTTCACACCACTTCAAAAGAGAGCAAGAGGAGAAGGGCGAAACTAGCTCTCGACTTTGACAAGAAAAAGGAAGAAGCAACATTAACCTTGCAAGACTTAAGCTAAATTATATACTTGCACTTATGAGTTGAAGAACATGATTTCAGTAAATGTAAAGGATGACTTGTAAGCAACATAGCATGTATAAGAACTAATCAAAACAAGCAACCATGCCCATGCCTAGCATGTGGGGCTGGTTCTATAAAAAGAAGAGAGGATGGAATGTTAAACACCCCATTCCGTTAAGTAAATATATGGTGAACTTTTGTAGGTCCAAAATAATATACACAACATATTAAATCATATTATATGATTAAATATCTAGCTATACTCTCCGGTATTATTATTTTCATAAAACAATAATTCTCCAATTAAATACAAGAGCTGATAGTATTTATTATAATCAAATTATTTAATAAATAATCAATGAGTGTTTATTTGCTTAAGGTGTGGCCTTCTATGATCATATGTCATTAAGAAATATCATTTTCAAATGATTCTTGAGGATATATATCTTTCAATCTCGTACTTGCACAAGTCTCATTTTGAATTGATATAGACAAAGGTGAATGTTTAGCAACATATTACTTCCCCTAATAACACACGACAAAGTTCCATTCAACACCATCCAATTCCCTAAAAGTCCAAAACTACAATTGATGTATAATGTAAGTATCAGTTGTGCATTTGTCCCAATCATAATTTGAACATGAGATACATATCACAATCAATATCATTTAGTGTTCAAATTTTAATAAGACGTCTTATATGTCTAACTCTCAACACATAATAGGAACAAATCCAATATTGACTACATATGCCTCTCATATGGTTCATATCATACCTAATAATAGCCTTTATAACTCTTTGGTCAAAGAACAACATTTAACTACATTAAAGTATAGCATTCCTACACTTAAGTCCCAAATATGCGCCTCATGTATTAAGGATACAAAGATATTTCCTTTATCAGTATCACTCATGATAACGATCCTGCTGAGATTTAGGTAAACAAACAAAATTAAAACCATTAAGTTTGCATGTAACCTAAATAGGATCTACATTTTCTCTATTGAACCTATAACTAAGAACATCAAAAAGAAACCTGGAAACCCTAGGGTATTTTCAAAATTAACATTAGATGGTTTTAGGATAACATACCTTTTAGTTGTTATAGCAAACAACTAGAAATTCCCTTTGAAGATCTCTTGGAAGCAAGTATCATAAGTGTAGTGCCTCTAATGGAATTACACCCAAGCTAGTAGGAGAATGAATTAGGAGAGAGGAGTGAGATTTTTGTCCAAGGTTTGTGGAGGGAAGGCATGGACGAAATCAAGGGCTAGGGAACTCCTTATATAGTTGAGGAAACTTGGTGCAAAAGCTAGGGTTCAAGGGATAAGCCTTAGATTCCCTTGCTTGGTGACCAAACAACCCAATCCCCTTGTCCAAGGGGCCATAGACGAAATCTCTCAAGGTTTCCTTGGAGGTTTTTGTCCACTTAATTCCATGAGGTTCTAGAGCCTTCATTTCTTTACTATTAATAAATAACAAAATAGTCCCTATACTTTTAACTAGTTCAATTAATCCCAAAATTAACTCCAATTAATTTCTGATTAATTATTAATTAAATAATATGATTTATAATTAGTATATTATTTTCATAACACATTAATAAACCATTTATTTAATTTATTATTAAAATGAATAAATTAATCTCCCTCTAAAAAAATCATCCTGTCCAATTGCTAGCTTTGAGGGTAACCTAAAAGGATTGTGCTACTATCAGTTCAAGTATATACCAATTTTAGTTATGGTCTTAGATACCTAATCCAACAGTCTCCCACTTGGATAAGTCTATAACTATAATTGTTAGTATAACTTCTGAATCAGTCAACAAGTTGTAGCTTCCAAAAGTCATTGTCGAACTCTGACCAGTCAGTTACGTGTCCTAAGGTAAGTGATCATATAATCCTCTGTTGTGCAAGATATCATTCGAACATGAGACATGAAATAGAATCAATCTCTTTGTCCACGACTTTGTTTCCTGATTTCTGATTTCTAATGACATAGAACTTCCAATTTAACACAACAATTTAGTCCTGGCTGAACCCGGCACTATAAGTCAACACCAAATCACCGAGGGGCCCAAATATATCGCTTTTCCCGTTAGGGAAAAATGAATGAACAAACTTTGACTTATATGCTTGTATCATTTACTCATTAAATCACACATGACAATACGTTTTATAACATCAAGTTATTGACACGTTTACATATTATCAATACGCAACCGACTTGTAAACTACAACTCATATATCTCTATTTCAAGATTATAAGATATTATCGTATGAAAATTACTCATGATTAATTCCATGAACTAATTCTATGAGTGTGGGTTAATCCAATACTCAAATATCCATTTCTAAGTACTCATGAACATTGTAGCAATACCATTTCTATGTCTAAAACTCCTTAGACAATCTACATCATGACAGTCTTAATTCACTACTTCCAAAAATATGATCGACTGTGGAATTTGAATAATCATATTATTCGGGAGGTAAAACATACAAAATGAAACACAAGAATAAACAATTGATAATAGGTAGTAAACAGCCTCATAAATATTTCTCTATGATTTAATCGCTAAAAGTCAATTTCATTTCAAAGTAACTACTATATGTCTTATGAAATGGTACTTTCTGTCGATATGTCTTGATCTTCCATGATCTCTTGGTTCCTTTGTCAAGACGACTGCCCTTTCATTATCACAAAAAAGTTCCATCGATTCCTTAATGGTTGGAATAACTCTAAGGTCTCCGATGAAGTTCTTCAAACAAATTGCTTCCTTTGATGCTTCACTTGCCGCTATGTACTCTGACTCATAGGCAGAATTAGCCACTGTCTCTTGCTTGGAACTTTTCCAAGTAACTACTCCTCTATTTAAAGTAAACACATAGCAAGATTGAGAACGGAAGTTGTCTCTATCCGTTTGAAAGTTGGCGTCACTACACCTAGTTACTCTTAATGTATCAATGCCGCCAAGTACTAGGACCCAATCCTTAGTCCTTCCCAGATACTTGAGAATATTCTTAACTGCTATCCAATCGGATTTACTTGGATTTCCCTAATAACAACTGACCATGCTCAAAGCAAAGGACACAGCAGGGCGACTACATGTCATAGCATATATGATAGATCCTATGGCGTAAGCGTATGCACTCCTACTCATTTATGATATTTATGCATCGATACTCAAACTATTAGTCTTATTCAGTTTGATATTACTCTGGATGGGCAGTTCTCCTTTCTTGAAAATTTCCATAATAAAATATTTTAGCACATTTTCCAAATATGTAATTTGACTAAGTCCAATTAGTCTTTTACTCCTATCCCTCAGAATTCTTATCTCCAGAATATAGGCAGCCTCACCTAGGTCCTTCATAGCGAAACACTTTCGAAGCCAAGAATTAACCTCTAACAAAGTTGGAATGTCATTTCCTATAAGAAGTATGTCATCAACATACAATACTAGGAAGGTTACTATACTCCCACTAGCTTTGACATATCCACATGACTCATCTTCACTTCTAGAGAAACCAAAATCCTTGACTTTCTCATTGAAACAAAGATTCCATCTGCGAGATGCTTGTTTCAATCCATAGACTGATTTCTCAAGCTTACACACTCAATTAGGAAGCTTTGCATCAACAAAACCCTCTAGTCTACTCATGTAAACATCCTCAACTAACTTCTAATTAAGGAAAACAGTTTTGACATCCATCTTCCAAATTTCATAATCATGAAAGATAGCTATGGAAAGCATTATCCTAATAGATTTTATCTTAGCCACTGGTGAGAAGACCTCATCATAGTTAATCCCTGGGGTTTGAGTAAAGCCCTTTGCAACCGGTTATGCTTTGAATATATGCACATTACCATCCATGTCAGTCTTTTTTTTGAAGATCCATTTTCAACCAACTTTATTTCGACCAGGTTGTTGATCAACTAAATTACAAACTTGGTTGTCATACATGCACTTGATCTCGCTGTTGTGACAACCCGAAGTTTGCTCCATCGCCGTAACCCGTTTCCGTCCATAAAACTAATCTTTTTCGAATTGTTTCTGTTTAAGCTTTTAAATTAAGTCATTATTTTTGATACTTCTATTATGACTTAATTCGTATCCAAACACGTTAGAAACTCATGAAAACATCCCAAACTATTACTTAGAAAATTTTTAGTTTCGACCATATCGGGTTACGACAACTTAATCGGGTGCGACCAAAAGCCTCGCTTAACGTCAGTATCAGGTAGAATTCCACCGTGTCTCAAACTTTAACCATATATAAAGTTGAGAGAGCCTCATTTGAATCCTTTTCCACTCTATATCTACTCTGTCTCCTCAATCCAAGTTCTAGGTCCAAAAATCATCAAATTCAAGCTCCAAATCTTTAAGGTAACTATCCTAGATCATAGTATAACATCTTTAGCCTTCAATTTCATGTTTAAATCATGGAATAGGACCATAAACATGTGTTTACGGCCCTGGAACCGCCTTAGGCCGTGAACACATGCAAATGGGATTTTTGAGCCTTAAAACC